CCCCCCGGGGGGCCCCCCGGGGGGCCCCGTGCTGCAGGCGGAACTGAGCTACGGGCAAGCTGCTGTGCTGCGGAGAGCTGTGGGGGCCCTGCGAAGCACCGGGGTGGAGCTGCGGGTTGCTGCCTTTGCTGCTGCGCTGCACTTGGATGCAGCAAGTCAGTCGCAGACGGCGTGGCTGCACTTGGCGTTCTGCAGCAGCTTTTTCAGGGGGTTTTTGCTGCAGCAGCAGCAGCAGCAGCAGCAGCAGCGGCGGCGAGGGGGGGAGCACGGGGAGGGCCCCGGGCCTGCGCTCTGCGTGACGCTGCCCATCAAACACCTCTGGAAAGCGCTCACCAAGGTCGCAAACCCTAAACCCTAAACCCTAAACCCTAAACCTTAAGCCCTAAAGCATTGCTCCCTCCGCCCACGGTGTTGCACTTGCTGGGGTAGCAGCAGCCCTTCTTTTGTCTCATCCTACGGTTTGTTGCTATTAGGGTTTAGAGTTTGTGCTTTTCAAGGTTTAGGGTTTGCGCTTATTAGGGTTTAGGGTTTGCGCGTTTAGGGTTTAGGGCCTGTGGGGGGCTCGTCGCGGCTGCTGCGGCCCTCGCGGATTTATTTGCTGCTGACAGCAGCAACTTTAAAACTCGATGTTGAATTTGACCACTTTGGCCTCCATTCTTCTGCTGCGCTTCCTGTTGCAGTAAGCTTGCTGCTGCTGCTGCAGCTGCTGCTGCTGTTGGCGCTGCTCTCACGTTGCTGCTGGTGCTGCTATCAACGCAAGTTGCTGCTCTTTTCTGCAGCAGCAGCAGCATCGCAGCAGCAACGCTTGACGTTCTAGCCTCTTCTCACTTCTCTGCGTGCGCCCTGCTGCTGCTGCTGCTGCTGCTGCTGTTGCTGCTGCTGCTGCTGCAGCCGGCAGCCTGGGGCTTCCCCTGCCGCATGCGCTGGCGGCGGCGGCATTCTCTTTGCGTTTCTTCGCGAGTGCTTTTGAGGAGCCTCGAGGACTTTTTGCTGCCTTTCGAGGACCTCAAACTCAGCAGCAGCAGCAGCAGCAGCAGCGGCAGCAGCAGCAGCAGCAGCAGCAGCAAACAGGCACACGTGATTGTGCGCCCGAGGGTTTGGGTTTTGGGTTTAGGGGCTGGGAGAGTTCAGGGTGTGGGGGCTAGGAGGGTTGACGCTTTTGTGGGGTTGAGGGTTTAGGGTTTAGTTAGGCTCTAGGGTTTAGGGTTTTGCAGGGACTAGGCTTTACGGGGTGAAGGCTGGAAGGAACAGCTGAGGCGATTGCTGCTGCACCTGCTGCAGCCGCAGCCCGGACACCAGCAGTGTCACCTGCTGCTGCTGTTGCTGCTGTTGCTGCTGCTGCTGTTGCTGCTGCTGCTGCTGCAGCTGACGGGGTGCTCTCGGGAAGGCGAAGAAGCTGCTGGGGACTCTGCGGGTTTTGGCAGCGAAGTGTCTCTACACGAAAACGTCTTTGACGCCCTTGTCTTTGGTCGCAAATGCTAAACCCTAAACCCTAAACCCTAAACCCTTTCTGCACCCTAACCCACCTCGAAACCCTAAACCCTAAAGCCACTGTGCTGCCTCCCAGGATGGGCTTTGGATTTGCTTTTTGCTGCTTTTGAGGGTTTGAGCCTTTACAGTTTTAGGCCAAGGGTCCGGGGCTTGGAATGTAGGGTTTAGGAGCTAGGGTTTAGAGTTTAGGGTTTAGGGTTTAGGGTTTGTATTCAGACCCTAGGCTACCAGCTTCGGGTGACTTGACTTTTGGAGGGCGAGAGCTGCGGGCAACAGCAGCGCTTTGTGGTTCGTCCCCTGACCCACCGGGGGTTTAGGGTTTAGGGTTTAGGGTGTAGAGTTTGGGGTTTAGGGTTTAGAATTTAGAGTTTGGGGTTTAGGGTTTAGAATTTTGGACCAATTATGTGCGATTCAATGGCTAGGAATCAACATTTCTGGTTTAGGGTTAACGATTCGTGGTTCAACGTTTAGAGTTTGGGGTTTAGGGTTTAGGGCTTAGGGTTTAGGGTTTAGGGTTTGGGGTTTGGGGTTTGGGGTTTGGGGTTTGCAGACTTTCTGGGCTCGCCCATAGGACTGTTTTATAGGACGCCTGGAGTCCCTTTGGTGGCTTTGCTCGGTGCAGCAGCAGCAGCAGGAGCAGCAGGTGCTGGTTCTGCTGCTGCTGTTGCTGACCCTGCAGCAGCAGCAGCTGCTGGTGCTGCAGGCTGCCCGGAAGCCTTCCAGCCGCACCTGCTGCTGATGCATGCGTTGCTGCAGCAGCAGCGGCAACTGCAGCAGCAGCAGCAGCAGCAAGCAGCACCTGGCTGGGCGCAGCCAGACGAGACAGCGGCCTTCGGGCCAGGCCGGTCCAAAGGCAAGTCCGTCTCACTGTTTAGGGTTTAGGATTTAGGGTTTAGGGTTTAGGGTTTAGGGTTTAGAGTTTAGGGTTTTTGTCTTAAGGCGACTGGCGGGGAGGGCCTGTGAGAGGCTGGGCTGGTCTTCTGTGGGCGTCGACGTCGCCTTCAGCTGCTGCTGGCGCTGCAGCAGCAGAAGGTGAAGCAGCAGCAGCAGCAGCAACAGCTGAGGGTGATGATCCTGGTGCTGCAGCAGCAGCTGCTGCTGCTGCAGCAGAGGACACAGATGAAGACGAAGAGTCCTTTGCTGCCTTCTCTAAAGCACTGCAGCTGCTGAGCATGCAGCACCCTAGAGACGCTGCAGCAGCAGCAGCA